AGTGCTATAAAAGTTATGAAATTTTTGGTTTGATATAAAAACAGAGCTTTCCACCTATGGAATTCAAGTAGTCTTGAAATTAGTTATGTCACCAACGTGAGTCTGTCAAAATTATATTCATGAGAAGTGTTTTATACTGGGCCAAGTGCTATAAAAGTTATAAAATTTAACAGCTATTATGTAATTTATACACCCATGATCTCAATGTAAAATACATTCTCAGATTTGAAATTACACTAGTGTTTACTGACAAGGTGCAAAACTATCATTTAATTCATTCATAATAAGTATGTGATTAGAGTATAAGAGATAATGAAGTCAAGTTGTTTCTTGTGGTAGAGGCCGCTTCTATCACTTGATGGTATGAAGGACGTTTTGTGGTACCACTGTCCTGGCTTCAGATTACATCTATCACTCCATAGATTACAGAACAGTTCCTGGTGACCTTAAGAGTGTGAGTGTGCAGACCACCGCGCAGCCTGAAGGTGGTTTCACGAGACCACTGACTCCTCACAGGTACAGTGATGATAATGATGTAAATGTATCAATAATAAATCTACCTCTCAATTCTAGAAGCTGAGGACATTTTTATTTTAAATAATACTAAAAATAACAAAGGAGCAACCTACTAGAGAATCCACAAGCCCATTCCAAATGCAATCATGTGTACAAAAGAAACAATGACTATTCCCACAGAGTGCATTTTAGTGTTTATCTTATTGAAACACAATGTCACAATAAAGTATCATTAACAGGAAACGCATTCAAGGAAGCTGCCGATTTCACTGTTTTTTAAACTTAATTCACACAAAAGGACAAACTTTGCTTTTGTTGCTTCTTTCAAGACATAATCTCTATAAAAATGGATACTATCTTTTAGATAGCTAAAGCATTTTAACAGCTTGCTACCTGAGTTCTGTCTGAAGTAACCAGAGGCATTCATCCTGATAGAAAAAAGGAACTTATGATTCTTTACTGGTTATTTCAACTCTCTTGCCGTTCTTCTGAATACCATATACCTATATCTAGAGTAATATTTATACACTCATTCATTCAGCAAACAGTAAGGGAACACCTACTATTATTATCAGGGACTAACTGGGTGATCTGAAAACAAATTTGGATGAATAAAAACAATTCCAGCTCCAAAGGAATATAGAGTCTACTGGAATGCGTAACAACAATGAAGTGACAAAAGAGTGTGCTCATAGATTATTTAGGCATCTTTCAACTGGTTTTTCTGTTGTGAAAAATCACTTAGCAAACTGGCTCAAGCGCTGACATATTCACTAACTTCTTTAGTACTCTGTAACCCCTTCTTTCTCTTCTCTAATCAAGTGATAGGAATTAGCCAGCCACATGACTCTTAAACATATTTTTCAAATGGGTAATAAGGGTCAATTTGAAATTAAGACAGCAATTTAAAATGTACCCCTGCCAACACCTCCCCGCCCCCCCCAACTCTCTTGTAAAGCAGGTTAAGACTTCCAAGCACAAGTATGCTTACCTTCACAGTGTTAACAAGCTGTCCATCAATATAGAGGGCTGCAGTACTGTTTTTCAGCATGCCTTTGCTCATCACCAAAACCAGATGATGCCACTGTCCCTCAATTATAAGTTCTCCACATCGAAAGCGGGCACAGCATGGCAGAATCTCATAAAAAGAGGATTCTTCACTAAAATCATCAACTAAAATAAAAGCGCAGAAAGAAAAAACTCAACATCCTCATTCTAACAATTATTCATATCTAGATCTTGACTTTATGTTAAAATAATAATGATGATTTAAATGAAAATGCCCTATTCATTCAATAACTTTATCTGTAGCAAGAAGTAAAACCTGGAATGTATTTCGCTTTCTTCTGCTCAATATATAGTTATAATCAAATAAAATAATAGTTGATAAAATACAAAATAAATAGACAATAAAGTTACAAGAGACAACAAAAAGAGACTAGTTATTATCTGTCATGATCTGTTATGAAAGCTCTTTTGAAATTCTCATTTGCCATGCATTTGATTACAGCATTGTAATCAAACTGGTTAGAAAACTGGTTAGAAAATTAAAAATTTTACTCTTGCTATATGCTCTCTTCAAGGACACAAAGAGCCAACTATATGTTCTCAGTTTGTGGTTGTACTGCCCTGACTCTTGCCTGATGATAGCTGGTAGTAAGGGGGTGATTTATGGAATGGAAAGGTTTGTTATATTAGTTTCAGGTGTACAAAAGAGTGAGACTCAACAATTCTGTACATTACTCAGTGCTCATCATGATAAGTATACTCTTAATCCCCCTTACCTATTTCAGCCATGCCCCCACCCACCTCCCCTCTGGTAACCATCAGTTTGTTCTCTATAGTTAAGAACCTGTTTCTTGGTTTGTCTCTCTTTCTCTCTCTTTTTCCCCCTTTGCTTCTTTTGTTTTGTTTCTTAAGTTCCACATATGAAGGAAATCATATGGTATTTGTCTTTCTCTGGCTGACTCATTTCACTTAGCATAATGCCCTCTAGTTCCAACCATGTTGTTGCAAATGGCAAAATATCATTCTTTTCTACTGGTAATATTCCATTGTATATACACATATACCACCTCTTTTTTACCCATTCATCTATTGATGGACACCTGGGTTGCTTCCTTATCTTGGCTATTGTAAATAATGCTGCAATAAACATAGGGGTGCATATATCATTTGAAATAATGTTTTTGTGTTCTTTTCATAAATAACTCAGTAGTGGAATTACCGGATCATATAGTAATTTTATTTTTAAGTTTTTTGAGGAAACTTTATACTGTTTTCCACAGTGGCTACACGGAAAGGTGTTCTGGTTCAAGTTTCCTGTTTCACCTAACATTCTGCAATCACTTCCTGACTCTCATCTGGCTTCTCTCTGCTACCCAGTATGTTGCCTGATCATGCTAGGAAATAATGGGTCAATATTAATTCAGAGGCGCCTGGGTGGCTCAGTCGTTAAGCATCTGCCTTTGGCTCAGGTCATGATCCCAGGGTCCTGGGATGGAGCCCCACATGGGGCTCCCTGATTGGCGGGAAGCCTGCTTCTCCCTCTCCCACTGCTTGTGTTCCTGCTCTCCCTACTCTCTGTCAAATAAATAAAATCTTTTAAAAAAATATTAATTCAATCTTAATGTTAAGCTAATTAAAAATTAATTTAACTTTTCTAAACATTCAAGAAGGGGTGAGATAACAGTGTATATATCCAGATGTTAAAAATTCCTCCACCCAGCCACCCCCCAAAAAGTTTTTACCAGAGCTCATCTGTAACCATGTAACTTAAAGCAGACCCACCATTTTTCAGGATAAGCACATACAAGTAAATACACTAAAAGTTAAAAGTTTAAATTATATGAAGAAAGAATTACAAATAAAATACTAACATCTATTTTTCGAATCTTAAAGTATCAACATATACTGAAATGCCAAGATTTTAAAATGATAATACAAAATATACATCTATTGATGAGTTAAGAAATACAGAATCTTATCAATTGGTGACCTAATATAGGAACAGAACTGAAGAAACTAGGTGAAAAGCAGGGTCAAACAGCTTTGAAAGGTCTAGTGTATGGACCAAAGGATGTGAAAGAAAAGATCAAAAGTATGGGCAAAACTAGGAACTCTTCCCTTTCCTGTTCATAGACTGAATCTTCTCCAGAACTGTAGAAGATTTTACCTACAAAAATTTTCTGGGAGTTTCACATTCTGACTCAGGCTGAGACTAAGCCATATCCAGCATTCAGTGGTATGTCAGGATATCTTGGTGAGCCAACTGGTTTCGGACAACTCTTAATTAGCTACGTGTCTTAAAGGGCTGCAGCTATTCAGAGGATGGATCCTTGTAGTAGTAACATCATCTATAACTAATGTATCTGTTACTGTAATTCATAGTGATATATGGATTACAGTAGTCTTATAAATTACATTTCATGAAAATGATAGTTATTAGAAAACATTTTCCTAGTTTAATGAAATATCCCTAGATCCATTCTTTAACTTTTCCATTAAATTCTATCCTTTTTCCTCTCCATTATTATTCACTTTTCTCGTTATTTCCCTTTCAAGCCATCCATATTTATTTTCCTTTTCTTCTCATTCATTCATTCATTCATTCATACTTTTACATTATATTTTAAGTGTTTTAAGTAGCAGAGCTGCCCAGATTACCAAGGTAATAAATCAGATCGTGTGTAGGAGCATATAGTTCTACTTCTTTCTTTGTCTAGACAAAGACAAAAACAAAGAGTTAAAATCTTGGAAGTCCAGATCGGTGATAAAAAAACTGAATAATATCTAGGACAGCGGGCATAAGAGGAAGGGAAGATTCAAGAAATATGAAGGAAGCATAATTCAGTAAGATTTAGTGGAAGGGGTGGTATTATCAAGGTAGACTTGAGGTTTTTAGCTAGGCTGACTGGTGGTGGGGGTGTCATTTACCAAGACAGTTAAAGAGAAAGAGATGCAGGTTTTATAAAGAAGAAACATTATAGTTTGAGTTGTTTACAGAAAGACTATTCATATGAAGATGTCTAATTTGCATTTAAAATATGAAGAGAAAGCATAGGACACAGAAAAACAAAAAAAAAATTTAATTTTGGAATCCCTGGGATTAAAAAGACCTAAAGCTAACAAAGATAGGTTGTTTTTTTTTCCTCACGAAGAGAAGTTTGAATACAACGACTAAAGATGAAACCCTGGGTGGAAAAGAAAGCTGTTGAAGGAAGTTGCAAAAGAGAGGTCAGAGATGTAGGGCAAGAATGAGTGGGTCTCCCAAACGGCAAGACTGAAGACCAGTTTAATTAGGAGGAAAACATCAACAGGATCAAAGGGAGTGTCCTAAGAAGAATTTTAAAGCAGTTATACTGCTTACTCTGTCCTAGTCATAAAGAATACTAAGAAAAGAGGCCTTACAACCTAACTGAGCTAACATTCAAATTAGTATTTGAATACTAACCACATGTGAAGCAATACGTGGTATTATTTGGTCAGTTAAAAGATAAATTTAGGGGGCGCCTGGGTGGCTCAGACGGTTAAGCGTCTGCCTTCGGCTCGGGTCACGATCCCAGGGTCCTGGGATCGAGTCCCGCATCGGGCTCCCTGCTAGGTGGGGAGCCTGCTTCTCTCCCTCTGCCTCTGCCTCTCTCTCTGACTTTCATGAATAAATAAATAAATAAGATATTAAAAAAATAATAATAAATTTAGAAGACAATAAAGAAGAGGTGTATTTATGTTACAAATGCTTATATTCAGAGCAAAGAACATTCAGTAAACTGAGATTTATATTTTATGTTATTCACATCATTTAGGAAGATCCTCACGAATGTCTTATGTTTGAACCTCTACTGGATAGCAATGTAACATTATGGCATGTTGGAGAGAATTAGGAAATTAAGATTATTAAATGGTATGTATTAAGCCTTGAAGGTAAGTGATGGATAAAGTAATTAATATGTTATTGTGTCTAGCACAGAGTGGCACATATGGTAGGCAGGTGCTCGATGAATATTCATTAGTTAAGAAGAATTCGTGGCCAATGAAAATCCTTACTAAAATATATCAAACAAGCAATCTGCTTTCCTAGCAAAAGCTGTGATTTCTTGGCAAGTAGAAACGAATCCTTATTTTAGGAATTCTTTCCATTGTTTTCTATCTAAGTCTCTTTTGAAAGTGCCTTAAAATTCACTGGTAAACAATATTCAACATTTCATAACCTGTTCTATTCTAAAATAATTTAAATTGGAAAAGAATTACCAGCTGGACTTTAAGGATGACTATTATAGTGAAACTTAATACTTTTAATTATCACAAGAAGCAAAAAGAAACAGACAGATACTGACCATAGTTTTGGAGTAGTTCCTCTTTGGTGGAAACAATCAGAGATCGGTCTTTTGCTGACAGAACGATGGCAAGGCACACATAATGCTGCTCAGAAGAATTTGCTCGGCGCACAATAGTAAGAAGTCTGACAGGGTGGTTATTTGGAGGAGAACTAAAATGTTCAATACAGAACCAGCTAGAGTAGCTTAAGCCAGATGGAGGAGGGAAGAATCTTTCACCTAAAATAAAAATTGAAAAGTAACAATGAAAGAGTTGTGTGGACTGATATTTACATTTAAAAAAGAAGGCAATAAACTCTAAATAAAATATAATCTACTAAAAAAGAAAGAATCTCATGAGCAAAGAAAGTTAGTATTTACCAGAACCAATGCCGCTGACCACGGCCCCATCGGTAAGACCTGTTGTGACGGCATTGTTTGTAGGAGCATTATGAGGGGCCAGACTGGGCAGAAACAGGCAGCTATCAGAGAAAAGACAATGTACACATTAGAGATCAACTGTTTTCTTCTGCCACTACGCACTTACCATTGTGGAATAAACTGCCATCATTTATGGGTAACTAGAGCAAAGAGATCATGGAATAAACCTGGGTGCCTAACAAAGTCCTTCCCTTCTTGTAATTATGTAAGAGTGCAGAGAGATATACTTTAAAAATCTCCAGTGGCATAATTTTTATTTTAAATCTTTTAAAAAATCAAAGTATAGGCCGCATATGGTAAAATGCACCAATGTATAACCCTGTTCAAGACACTGGAACATCTCATCACTGCAGAAAAATTCCGTTGGGCCCCTTTCCAGTGAGCTGTTTTCCTCTGTGCTGATGAGTTCTGACTATTCCATAATATGTTTTAATCCACCATTCAGTAATACCACATGACAATGTTCTCAAAATACAATTTACAGATTTAGACTGATGTATGAGAATCCCACAGACAACCAGTATAGACATAGATCTATAGTATTAGCATTTCTGTCCGTTTTGAGGCTAGTGGATTTTATAAATTCTTCTAGATTCTCTATAGATTTATTGTTGCTTCTGCTTCTATAGCATTTTCTGCCACTTGAAATTATTTACTCATTTGATGTGATAGTCACCCAGTATTTATAATGTATATGGTACTAAGGTACTAAGTTAGGTAATTTCGGGGGGAAGGATGATGATGAATAAACCCAACAATTTTTAAATCTAATTTTAATTTGCATGTTATCTATAAATTTATTGTACTAAATCAGAGGTGGCAAACATTTTCTGAGAGGGCCAAACCATAAATATTTCACTCTTTGCAGACCAGAGTCTCTGTCATGACTACTCAACTTTGCCATTCTAGCACGAAAGCAGCCACAGACAACACATACATAATTGAGTGTGGCTGTGTTAAAATAAAACTTTATTTGCCAAAAAAATAAAATAAAATTACAAAAAAAATTTGGACCATGGGTCTTAGATTCCAGACTCCTATAACATAGCAACTTATTTAATATAATAATTTCAAATTAAATCTAAAACCCTTAAATTAACATGCTCAAAGAGCTCAATCATTTCAGAATATATAGTATATCTTAACAAAGTATATTTAAAACCAAAGATCTATTTGTCAAAGGCAAGTAGGAGGCATAAAATCATATAATAAGCCTTGGCTACCTTACAAATTCCTTACCCAAACCCTTCAAGGGATGTGTCAAATTCAACAAAAGCTGGAGTAACTGATGACCCATGAAGTCTGATGTCATGTGGGGTTGTCATGGAGACCAGACACTTCACCCTAGTTAGAGGTACAGTACTTCCTTCTGCAGATTTTACCAGGCTCTTGCTTATCCGATAATGGTTATCTTCATGTAAGCTGAAAACATTATCAGAACCCAGACCTTCCATAGATGTGATCATACTACCTGTAAGTCAAAGAAAAGCTCTTGGGAAAAATATCATGTAGATTTCTAAAATAATGACTTTATGCAAAGCAGACTTACTTTTAAATACCACTCTTGAGTTTCAATATATAATAATTTTATGATTAAACTCTAAAGCTATTATCCAGTTTTAATGTACTTTATGTTCATTTTTAAACTTAAATAGCATGTGTTTTCTTTTTTACTTATAACTAAAGTCATAAACACATTGCAGAAATGTTGGCTACTACAGGGTACAAATAATAAGAATCACAAGTAACCACTTTCCAAGCCACAGTTACAATGTAATTTAATCATAAATTATAGATAATGATGTTTCTAAAAAGCCAGATTATACTTTTCACAAAATTATTTATTATCTCTGAGAAGAAAGCAAAATATTCTAGAAGAATTAGAAAGAAACAGGTCACCTTTATCATAAAAATAATCAGATAAATAGCAAATACTTGCTTCTCTTCCATTTTCTCCTTACTTTTAACTTTTCCCTTACAATTATTATAATTAAATATGTAATCACCAAAGTACTTGAATTAAAAAATTCCTATATGCATGTAAATGGTAATAATTTCAAGAAAAAAAAGACAAATTTTAAACTGGTCTATTTTTCAGGAATACATTACAATTGTAAAGAATGGAGAAAATATCCCCTCTCGAGATAAATTACATAAATATATAATTGTTTTCTCTCTTAAATGTCCTATGCATTCAGGCAACCATAAAAATATTTCGATCTTCTCTTAGAGAAAGGAACTATTTTTGTTTCTCTTCTTTGCAAAGGAAATCACAATCCAATTCTAAGGAACTGTGTTAAGTACAAAATCAACAATAACAAAAGAATATAGACATCTAGGGGAGGTATACTAACAGATATGAAGAACTGCAATACTTTGTTTTCCAGTAAAAACTGTACTGGAACTCAAAAGATCTTAGTTTCCAAAACATAGTATTCACTAATCACTGATGATAATTCGCAGGAGAAAAAACTAAGACGGAAAGAACAGATGGAGGTTGCTTAACCTTTTGGATTCTCACCTGAAAGAACAAGGAGATGCACGACACGATCACTACATCCTTTCAGGGCAGCCATTCTACTTTTCTAAGTTTTATTCTTTCCTGCTTTGCTAGTAAGGGTGACTTCAATCCATCAAAACAAATGCCTATCACTATGGCTCACAATTACACAAAACGAAGTGTAAAGAAAAAAACCCCAACAAAGCCAGAGAATTCGCACTAGCAGGAGGTCCAGTGCCACGCAGCTCTCTCCTGAGGGCGTGCTTGTCCACAGCTCGGACGGAGCCCGTCGCCTCTCAGGGGTCCCTGCCAGACTGGTAGGCAGTGCCCATGCTCTCTGCCAGTCGTCAGGCATCATCCCAGCAGCCTGACGCGCAAACTGCTCTTCGGGGCTCCTCTCAGCAACGTTACCACACACCTGTGTCTAAGAGAGGGCCCTCTGTTGCTACTGGCAGGTCCTTCTCGGTCCTCTCTGTACTAGTGCTTGCCAGCGTCCTGGGGGGTGTCCAGGTCCACACGAGCCACCCATCCAACACCTCACTTCGAGCTCTAGGATCATCTTTCACTCTTCCTCACCCCAGAGCCACGATCTGGGCATGGTCCTTCCTTCCCCGTGTTTCCCTGCTCCAGTCTGGATTGCCATTCTTCTCCCCACCCCCATTCCTCCTTTTCTCTCACCACATTGGCTTTCTGGCCTAGCCACTATTCTCCAGTCCAGGGACCTATCCCTTTTCTCCCGGCCTATCACTAGCTGCTTGGTTTCACTTCTTTTCCTTTCCAGCCTGTCCTTCTCGGTGTAGCTCTTCATCTACTTTTATCAGTATTTTTAATCTCCTGTCTTCCACGTCCTCTTGCAGCAGCTGTCCTGCAAGCCCAAGGCCTGTTAACCACTCTAGTTCAGGCAGCAAAGGTGACTTGAGGAAGGCAAAGAAATAACGAATCCTCTAAGAGATATCGCCCCTTCCAAGCCAAGTGTTACTCCGCACGTAATTCTCATCTCCTGTGGATCCTGCTTACATCAGTGATTTCCCACCCCCATTGGCCCTCTTCTTCAGTCGGCCAACCAGATTTTATGTTTCCTCATTTAAATAATGACAATCCCTTTCCTTTCTTTCACAGTAAAACTTCTTGAAATAATATTCATCCCCTACGTGATTTTCATATACACAATAACCAAAAAAGGGAATTTGAAAGGTCAACTTACTTCTCATCTCTGGCTCATAACTCAGTGAACTTGGTTTGTGGACCCTATATTGTTTCAGCAGTTTTTTGTCCCAGGCACCACAATTTAATGGACTTGCCAAACGCAAAAACTCCCTGAAGAAGACACAAAGCAGTTATTCCTTGATTGGGAACATTATAGAACTCATAAACCAAACACACAAAATATGGGGTCTCATGAATTATAACAGACGACTTAAAAATACAAAAGCAATCGAAACGGTTATTATAAAATAATAATACAATGTTAATTTTACATTTGAATTACCTAGCACTGAAAAGAGAACAGAATATTGTGAAGGACTAAAAAATGAAATTGGGGAGCATTTTCTTTTAAAACGTGATGTACAAAAATTGAATTGTCTAGGAGTTACACAAATAGGAGTCCTTCATATCCAGTCATTTATGGCATCATGTAAAAGGGGGAAAGAAAAAAAGAATACTTCTCTGAATTTTCAGCTCCCTATAGCAGAAAAAAAAATTTTAAGTTAGGTACCCTTTGCCAGTTTTTCACGTAGAGTACAATATATGATTAGTTTATAACCTTACAGCCTATGGCTCATCAACAACTCTGGTATCTGTACTCTATCATGAGACGTTTTGTTCTGAAAATTCATTCACTGTGAAAACTGAGCACGTGCAAATAGTTGGTCTACATTGCTTACTGTTTACCTCAGTAGACAGTATAAGCTATTTAATAAAATAATTGTATTAAGTATGAGATAATCTCTCTGTCTCATTCACTCTCTCTACTTTTAAAGCAGATTACCAAAATTAATCAGGGGAAAATCTCCATGCTACTTACAACATTTTAGGTTTCTGAATATATCCATAAGATGATGGACAAAGTGGGTAGGGATGGTCTCTTTCACCTTGGTATTGTCAAGGCCTAGTACACACTGCCTGATACAATACTGTTTAATGTTCATCGCATGGTTTATTCTTAATCTACCATTATTTGGAGCCAGTTAAAAAATATAAATCACAAATAAAGGCCAACCATTTCTAAGAAAGTTCCCAAAAGCTATATAAGAGAGGAGTACTTCAGCAGAAAAGAAAATCATCTCATAAAAAGAGCTGCTTATATCTGAAAGTGATGAGATACAGGAATATATTTTTGTAAGGAGGGACAAGATGACTTATACATTAAATCTGTTTGGCAAGGTAATCTCAAGGAAAGGATTTTTATTTATTTATTTGTTTATTTATTTATAAATAAGTAGGGGGGGGAATGGAGGGGCAAAGGGAGAAAGAATCTTTTTTATTATTATGTTATGTTAATCACCATACATTACATCATTAGTTTTTGATGTAGTGTTCCATGATTTGTTGTTTGCATATAACACCCAGTGCTCCATGCAGAACGTGCCCTCCTTAATACCCATCACTAGGCTAACCCATCCCCCCACCCCCCTAGAACCCTCAGTTTGCTTCTCAGAGTCCATAGTCTCTCATGGTTCGTCTCCCCCTCCAATTTCCCCCCCTTCATTCTTCCCCTCCTGCTATCTTCTTTTTTTTTTTTTTAACATATAATGTATTATTTGTTTCAGAGGTACAGGTCTGTGATTCAACAGTCTTACACAATTCACAGTGCTCACCATAGCACATACCCGCCCCAATGTCTATCACCCAACCACCCCATCCATCCCACCCCCGACCACTCCAGCAACCCTCAGTTTGTTTCCTGAGATTAAGAATTCCTCATATCAGTGAGGTCATATGATACATGTCTTTCTCTGACTGACTTATTTTCGCTCAGCATAATACCCTCCAGTTCCATCCACGTCGGTGCAAATGGCAAGGTTTCATTCCTTTTGATGGCTGCATAATATTCCATTGTATATATATACACCACATCTTCTTTATCCATTCATCTGTCGATGGACATCTTGACTCTTTCCACAGGAGAAAGAGAATCTTAAGCAAGCTCCACACCCAGAGTGGAGCCTGACGCAGGGCTCAATCTTACAACTCTGGGACCAAGACCTGAGCCAAAATCAAGAGTTGGATGCCACCCAGATGCTCCTCAAGGAAAGTATTTTTTTTTAAAGGGTTTTATCCCTAGGAACACCTGGGTGGCTCACTTGGGTTAAGCGGCCGACTCATAGTTTCAGCTCAGGTCATGATCTCAGGGTTCTGGGATCCTGCCTCACGTCAGGCTCTGCGCTCAGCAGGGAATCTGCTGGAGATTCTCTCTCTTCCTCTCCCTCTGCCCCTCCCCCTGAGCGTGCACTCTCTCTAATAAACAAATAAATCTTTAAAAAAATAAATAAAGGGTTTTATCCCTAAAACACAGAGGACTGTTTCTCTTGCATTACCAAGATTTAAATATATATATTTCTTGAATGGTTAAACTGTAGAAGGTATATTCATACCATAGACTACTACTCAGCATTCAAAAGAAACTACTGAAACGTAACAATTTGGATGCATGTCCAAGGCATTACAGAAAGTGAAAAAAAGTCAATCTTCAAAGGTCATATACTATATGATTTCTTTTATATAACATTCTCAAAGTGACAAAATTATGGCGACGGAGCAGATTCATGGTTTCCAGGGTTTAGGAATGGTGGCGGCTAGGGGAGTGGATGTGACAATAAAGGAGTAGCAGCACTAGGCGATCTCTGTGACATCCTGATTGTGGAATCTACACATGCGGTAAATAACAGGAACTATAGCATACAAGGATACATTGTAACACATCAGTAGTTTTCAGGTTGTATTATTGTTACATAAGATGTAACCACTGGAAAAAACTGGGTGAAGGGGACACAGAACCTCTCTGATCTATCTTTACAACTTTCTCTAAATCTCTAAGTATTTTAAAATAAAAGCATTTAAAAAGTATTTCTTAAGAGACTCTAGGAACTGCCCTTACTCACTGGGGCTTACTCAGCTGTGAAGAAGAGAACACACTGACCTCAGCACCATGGGCTCCAGGGCCTGGGAGGCCAGCCGCTCAAACATGCGCTGCAGGGGCGGGTGCAGTGCATGCTCCTCGTCAGCCAGCGCCGCGCTACACCGCTGCAGCAGCCGTGCGTGGAGACCCGCTTCACACATGACCTGCTGGTTTCTCTCCGTGTGCACCAGGGATTGTAAAATAGTTGCCACAGCGAGTTGAAGGTCCAGAGCATGCTAAAGTTAAAGAAATCCATGCCACCAGGGCATTCTTAGTAAGAAAGGGGAGCGTTCTCTCCATGTGAAGCACACCTTTTAATAGGAGCTCTCTACGCATTTCAGATGACCTGCAGATGAGTTCAGAAGCTGACTGGAGTGACACAGCCACTCCAGAACTGAGCTAGGCAAACGTTTCCTATCCTCATCTTGCTGGAAGCATACCCAGTGGACTCCACTCTCTTCTAAGTCTTCTGTATTAAACGGCTATATAACGAATAGTATTTTAATTTTTGTAGAAACAGTGAATGCAAGGTCTTTTACATGATCGGTAAAGCACCGGTTTAAAGGAAAGCCTATCATTTACATTTGTGACCCTTTAGGCCTTAGAGGCCATATACACCATTTTAACAAATTAATCACCAAAGCTCCAATTCACCCAAACTCTTGAGTGCTACAAGTCAGAACAGATAAATAGTCTCAAAGTGGTATCTTCAGTCATTTTTCTTCCTGTACTATTTATTAATAATTTCCACTGCTGAGCAGGATTTATAAGAAAGAGAATTATTTTAGCACCTGTCTTGGATGCATTTGTGACAGATGAACTGTATTCTAAAACACACATATCTATCGCATTAAGAAAGTTAAGACCCAAATAAAAACCTATTTTTTCATTTCCTACTTTAGTAGGTGATATAGAATGGTTCCCTATCAGTCTGTCTTTCTGGGCCCCACTTCCTTGATTATACAGTCATATTCATGTCTCTTCACTTATTAAAGATGGAGAGGAGCTAACATGTCCAAGCTTACTTCTGGCTGTGTCACTGACCCAACAGAGGCCAGCAGGTCCAGCATAGCAAGCATGGCTCCGGGATGGATGATGACGGCATCAGAACTCTGGAGAGATGTCGTTGTCACATGTAGTTTCAGGTCAGTGACATTTTTAGGAGGGTAAACAGGGGGAGTTGAAACAGAATGATATGCATGCCTATAAAAAAGAAAGAAGGGTAATTTAGCATAAAATTCCAATCAAATCCTCCTGTTCAATTTCTTCATCTTTTGTTACCTTTATCCACTGACAAGCAAAAATCTTTGCAATTCAAGGTTGGGTTACAAAACACTTTAAGGCTGGGATATAAAAGATTCTTAGTGAGTCATGTATAAATGATTGAACTATTAATTCTTCTACGGTCTGATACGTCTTTACCATGTGTTATCTCGATTGTTTCGTTTAAGAAGGGCGCATGACGACTAAAGTTAACACTGCTCTCTGGTATATTTGAAAGTTGCTAAGAGAGTACATCTTAAAAGTTCTCATTATAAGGAAAGTATTTTTTTTCTTATATCTGTATGAAATCATGGATTTTTAAAAATTTTTTTTTAAGATTTTATTTGTCAGAGAGAGCGAGCGAGCGAGCACACAAGCAGGGGGAGTGGCAGGCAGAGGGAGAAGCAGGCTCCCCACTGAGCAGGGAGCCCAACGCGGGACTTGATCCTGGGACTCCGGGATCATGACCCGAGCCGAAGGCAAATGCTTATTTAACTAACTGAGTCACCCAGGCACCTCATGAATTTTTTTTTTTTTTTTTTTTTGAGAGAGCACATGTGAAAGCAAGCAAGGGGGAGGGGCAAAGGGAAAGAGAGAGACAGAATCTCAAGCAGACTCTGTGCTGAGCAGGTATGCAGACTTGATGCCATATCCTGACATCATGATCTGAGCTGAAATCAAGAATCAGACAATTAACTGACAACCGCCCAGGCGCCCTAAGATGATGGATGCTAACTGAACTTATTGTGGTAATCATTTTACAACATTTGTAAGACAAATCGTATCTGGGGGGGGCCTGGGTGGCTCAGTCGTTGGGTGTCTGTCTTCGGCTCAGGTCATGATCCCAGGGTCCTGGGATCGAGCCCCGCGTCGGTCTCCCTGCTCTGCGGGAAGCCTGCTTCTCCCTCTCCCCCTCCCCTTGCTTGTGTTCCCTCTCTCGCTGTGTCTCTCTCTGTCAAATAAATAAATAAAAATCTTAAAAAAAAGACAAATCATTATTTGTAATTTAACGTATACAGTGCTGTATGCCAATTATATCTCAATAAAACTGGAAGAAAAAAAATGACACCTGTACCAGATGATGCAACAAACAGGTAAAATCACAGTGATTCAAAACTTTAGGTAAGGTAAAAGTTCTGATATAATGTGATGCGGGTATAAATTAAATCCAATCCCTCGATTTTTTTTTCTTTCCTTCTTTTTTTTTTTTAGAGGGTAGAGGATGGAGGGGCAGAGGGAGAGAGAGAGAATTTCAAGCAGGCTCCATGCCCAGTGTGAGCCAGACACGGGGCTCGATCCCACAACCCTGGGATCATGACCTGAGCCGAAATCAAGAATCAGACGCTTAACCGACTGAGCCACCCAGGCACCCCTTGATAAGATTTTCTTTTGAAATGACCTATGGTTTGTAACCTTTCCTTAAACCATGGGTAACATAATCAAGGACTAACAAGATCTAAGTGGACTACTCTCAAACTGGGTCAATCAGTCAGGGTTGGCTAAGAATCTTGGCTCCCTGACAAGAAATAATGTTAAGCATCAAGGAAGTTTTCCTTTAGCTTATTTGGAACTACAGTCACATTCTTTTGCATTACCCACTTACCGCTGAAAATATTCACCACAATTTTTTAAAAACATAGAAGGCATATTTTACATAATAAGCTTCTATGAGGTAGAAAACCTCGCTATATCCTGAACATAGCACATTTCTTCTCGTCAATGATCTCCACTTTCTATTTCATACTATTCTTCTACAATTCATGAGTTTTGCACATTTTGTATCCTGGCACTAGAAAACAGATGCTTGTGGCTTCAGCCTATGGGAGCTCTTTGTTCCAATGACTTGGGTTCAGCATAATTTGCCTAATGCTGAGCTCTGTCACTGAGAGCAGTGCAGTTTCAGCTCTCTGGCACAAGAGCAGCTTGGGAAACAGATGCTTTAAGTCAGTGATTTTGTAGCAAAGAGTTGGCACCGCCTTTTTTTTTTTTTTTTTTTAAGTACCATTCTCTTTTTAACAGAGATTCTAGGAAAGTATTCAGCTTCACTTATAAAAAAAGCATGTGGGCTCTTCCAGTTTATTTAAAGTCACCATGTCCTCCACCTACTCATTTTTTCAACTCTGGGTTTTTTGTTTTGTTTTGATTTGGGTTTTTTTGCTGTTTTTGTTCAGAAATATTTAATTTCTAAACTTACAGGGCTATATTGTTAAATGCTTATTACCAGTAGGTATCCTCTTCCTATGTTGCTTCTTTTATTCTATGAAATATTTTGACCCATCTAGAAAAAAAGATCATAGTGTAATAGGAATTCTCAACCATTAAGAAATTTCATAAAAACTGTTTTTCATTACACATAAAAAATAACTCAATGTGGAGAAAAATCCAATTCTACTCGTATATTTTAGTCACAGGCCTTCTGAAATTATTTCTGAGTTTCCAGATTTAATATAGACTGAACTTAAATTATGGATATACCCAGGAAGGAGCCTTTATGTCTTCGGAAACCAAGCTCTTTACTAATTAATATACAGCTATTATAGTAGTAAACCTTTTAATCTTCCATAAGATAACAATATTCTGATATAAAAATTACATTCATCTCAAACTGGAAAAATTTTGCAAACACTGCATAAATCTAAAACATGGTATTAACTAAAATTAGGTCTATTTTAACAGGTATTATATATTATTATTAATAATTACTAAGTCACTTAGGTATCACTGCAGGTATTATCATTTTTTAAATTTAGAGATTACAGTAAGCTTATTAAATGAATAATCCCAAGCAAGACCTAATCATTTACAAACACTGGATAAGACCACATTTCAAAATTTAACTTTTATGTTGCAGTTACTTTTAAAACTTAGAGAAACTGCTACTTAGTATTTCGATCTAAATTTTCATATATATTTAAGACTTACCTACCTCTTTGGGGAATATATTCTTGGATATTTAAATTCTGACTATGCTTTGCCTTAATTTCCATCAAGTGTGTATAGGCCCTGAGTAACAGATACCATGTTTGAACAATACCTAGTACTTGCCATCTTTTTCTGCCCTGCAGATATACTCTGGAGAGCCTTGGTTTTTATTTTGTATTTTGTTTTCACTTCCTCTAGGTCTGATCAAATACTGTTCAGCTATAATTCTGTTCCATTATTCTTTCGGAATAATGAATAATAATGAAAAGTGTTACGAGTTTTAGTTTTCCAAAAATAAGGCCTCCTGGGTTTTTGTCCCCAATTCTTAAAATAGAGAAGAATTTCCAGGACTTTACGTGCCAGACAACTATCACAAACTCAAACCTTCCTTGTGTCTGAATACTCCACAAGCCATAAAAACTAACACAATGTTGGTTTCTCCTTTTGCCAATAGAAACATGTTTTGCCACAAGAAAAAGATGAAGTAATTTGTTGAGATGCTCTAGAGATATTCTAATTTCAAAAGTTACGGTATTTGCATTTGAAAACAAAAACACTGTTTTCTTATCATAGAAAAAATCATAATCATAGCTTATGATTCTTATCACTGAGCAAAATGTACGTAACCTGACCAGAATGGCAACCTGAAAATGTCAACGTTGACCTTATTATTATGAACAGTATTGGGAACCTCCTTGGGGTAAAACCAACCTGAAAGCCTAATTGGAATTCCCACAGAAAATGAGTTAGTGACATTTCCCCTGAAGTCAAAGATATGGCATCCCTTACGTGTGGCTCTGATGCAAATGATGACAAAATGTTTTTGATCTAAGCCCTTAAATAACTCTTTATGAGATGGAATAAAATTTTCCTTTCGTCAGATTATCATTTAAATAAATAATAAGTTCTGATGGATTTTCTTTCCATGTGTTCTTTTAACCTGTGAATTTCTATTGCAATATTTTATAGTTTTCGGTTAATATAAAAATGGTTAAATGTTTTTTTTTTAAAAGATTTTATTTATTTATTTGAGAGAGAGAGACACAGCAAGAGAGGGAACACAAGCAGGGGGAGTGGGAGAGGGAGAAGCAGGCTTCCCGCGGAGCAGGGAGCCCGATGCAGGGCTCGATCCCAGGACCCTGGGATCATGACCTGAGCTGAAGGCAGACGCTTAACGACTGAGCCACCCAGGCGCCCCGGTTAAATGTTTTTAAACACAGCAATTTTTATACCTTCACAATTTATGGAATCATAAATGTGACTTTCAATAATTAAAACTATTTAGTAATTAAAACTATTTTTCTAATATCCAGTATGTGGGATAGTGAGCACACGTAAATCTTCAAACACAAAGAACACCTTTTACTGCATTCATTTTAGCAATAGAAAAACACACTACATCAACTCAAAATGATTTTATGGTTTCTTGTATTAAAAACTGCTCTAAGAAAAACAAAAACAAAATAGTTTTAAAATACAAATATACTGAACACTAAATTCGTTTAAGACTATTCTGAACTATTTCAAGATTTATTGTCAGAAAATGAGCTCTAAGTCCTAGTGTAAAAATAAAAGAAAAAGGAAAATATAAAGTCCACCCATCTAATGAATATACTACTGTAATATATTGAAATACAGGACCTGTAACAAATAGTTTTAATACAATAATTCCACTAATATTCAAATTTCAAAATCTGAACAACAGAAATAAAATTAATCAACAACATAGCTGAACCTCAGGATTCATTTTTAGAAAGCCACAACAGAAGAATATATTAATATAAGACTGAAGGACTTGTACTTGGTTATGAGAAAAACTGGGGAAGGAAGGTTATTGGTCCCAACTCTACAGGGTATTATCACTTTAAGTACAGGTTGCAGATGGAATCTTAAATGGATCTTAATTGTACTCCTGTCAATCAACTGCTGGTTCTTTATATTCATAACCTTTATATACAAGGTAGACTAGATGAGCTTAGAAAGAGATATACACAGAACGAATGAAAACAAGAGCTAGGGTAGCTTTATTTATTCATTTTTTTCAAAGGTTGGCCCTGACAAGTCTCCACAACAGCATCACATTTCAACTGGTTGAACCTGATTGAGAAAACACGCAGTTCCTTGCCAGTGCTGTGATGTGCATTTTGGAGTAAAAGCAAAAACCGAAGAATGATTCCTAGCACATTTAAAGTAGAAAGAAAAAGTACTCTACTTAAATAGGCACTCATTTCTAAATTAATTTTACTTTAGAAAATTAAAATTTAGAAAAATTGCCATCTTTTTCTCCCCTGCAGATATACTCTGGAGAGCCTTGGTTTTTATTTTGTATTTTGTTTTCACTTCCTCTAGCTCTGATTAAGTATTGTTCAGCTATAATGTATATTTTATATACAAAATGTATATATAAAATATATAAAATGTATATACAAAATATACAAAAATGTGTATTTTACTCTAAATAGAATCAGATGACAATATTTTAAATGTCCCTCATATCCTCATGGCATTAACGCATTTTATTCTCATAAATATACTCAGAATTTGACGATTCTAAAACCTAAAAAAAAATCAAGTAGAATGCCAAAAAATTTTTGTACAAAGCACAATCACCACATTAACATTTAATTAAGCACAGACAAAAAAAAAAAAACCCACACAAATAAAGATTGACTTCTGTTATAAGATCAGTACCTTTTCCTGGACAAAGCTGGTGTACCCCAAGGAGAGGGGAGAGAAGACTCACTTGTCAGGCAAGGAGGGATCTGTTCTGCACGACTACAGACAACAAAACAGACAGGGCAGTTTAGAGAGGTTAGAAGAGAACACCAGGTTGGCAGTTGGTTAGTTTCACACGAAATACCAGTAAAAGTGTAATAAGGAACATCTTCCATACTCAGCAGGAACAAGAAACAACACTACAACACATGCACTGAGGAAAACAGAAAAGCATGCTTAAGGCAGATGCTTATCTATTAATGTTAACACTTAACACGTTTGTTAAACAGAGTGCCGTAAGCCCTGTTTTTAACAAAGAAAACTAAAAATGAGGTATACTAACTAGGGTAAGTAGAAAAGAGAAAAGTGGCTGAATCTAAATATAAAAATATCAACCTCAAACAGCTTGTTCCTTGAACACTTCAACATACTATGTTTCTTTTAACAATATATATGCATTTTTATTTTCAAGATGTTATACTTTCTTATCTAAATGTTAAGGTCAAAGAAATACTGTCAAGAAGGAAGAAACATCTCAGTAGATATTTCAAAGTAGATTACTTCATGGTAAATGATAGAAAACCTATTAGAAAGCTTTATCAAAATAGAATTATTTGCTTTACTTATGGGGCCAATACAGAAACAATCCAGTTATTTTACGAAATAAAACTATAGCAACTGTTAAAAGTGATAATGCCTGGGACAAATGAGCACCATGACCACTCTTACATTATTTTCAAAGAAAACACTTTAAGAACTGAAAATAAGTGATTTAGGTAAAGTGGCACTCCTATGATCTGCCTTAGAACCCTGGAATTCCCTCATGATAGATTTTATCACAATATATTGTCATTGTTTATGTGTCTATATTTAAGCTAACAGACGACCATGTCTAAAAGTAGTCTTGTGCTTGAACCCTCAAGACCAGCACAATAACATGGCACGCAGTAGGTGTTCGTTAAGTACTTGTTTAATGGAAGGAATGAGTTAACAAATCTGAAAGACTCTCGAACTACCAATGTTTCTTATGGAGCTATATTCTTTTTTAATGATTACAAAATGTTGAGAACGATGAGGAATGCTGAAAATATATCATCTGTCTGGAAATACAGGTAATAATAACCATGTTCTCCTACTGATAACTAGTATCAGTAAGTCTGGATGTACCTAATGTTGAGAATAGAGGAAAACGAGAATAATAGTAAACACCACCGTTAAAGTAAACTTCATACAAACTTCCAGTAAGTGCCTCAAAAGCTAACTGACCCTAGATTGACAAATAATACACAAATATTCACGTTGAAAACCTTAACATCAGAGCAACAGTAATATTCGCAAATAAACTGACAGATAAGCAAATAAGAGAAAAGATTCATTTTCATTTTCCTTCAGGCTAACTTATAATTCAAACCTTAATGCTGAAGTCAGACACAGCATACCCTTTAATTCAGAGCAAAGCCATACCTGTCAAAAGAATCTGTGGCTACTTTGTAGAGATAAATAAAGAGTTTACTGCAATGCCGTAAAGTGGGTGACACTGTGTCCATCGAGATTACATCTTCCTCCAAAAGTCTTTGAAATGGCTGTGTGTTTGAGGGGAAGACATTCATGGGGCTTATTTTTCTTAGGTCTGAGAAGCAGCCAAGAAATCGAACGGCATCTGCCAACTTCTCATACTGAATCTCTGTTTTGAAGAAATGAGAGTTGGCTGGCTCATAGCGCATTGCTGCAGTCAATGTGCAGAACACAGTGTGGAGAAGTTCAAACACTTGATTCTGGTTCACTTTCTCCCAGCCATTCTTGGGTGGTGAGCTCAAAGACCTCTCCATAGCAACAAGCAAGGATGTAATGTACACAAATCCTCCAACTTTCCTAAAAACTGTTCTTGAACGATGGCTTTCTCGAAGGACTGATAGGAGGGCCTACAGGGGATGAGAAAACAAACAAAGGGTTTCCCTTATAATTAAAATTAAAACAAAATACATGAATGTCAAGGGAGGAATATCATTTCTATGAATACCTCAAAGGAATGTTTTTGTCATTTCCCCATTAAGCAGCCCTACGAAGCATATCAAATATTTTACTAATTAAAAAATGACATATTACACAAAAATAGACATATAGATCAATGGAACAGAATAGAGAGTCCAGAAATAAACCCACACTTATATGGTCAATTAATCTATGACAAAGGAGACAAGAATATACAATGGGGAAAATGGACCGTCTTGGCAACAAATGGTGCTGGGAAAAATGGACAGCCACATGGAAAAGAATTTAACTGGGCCACTTTCTTACATCATACACAAAAATAAACTCAAAATGGATTAAAGACCAAATTGTGAGACCTGAAACCATAAAACTCCTAAAAAAACAAAAACAAAAAAACAAAACAAACAAAACCCCAGAAAACAACAACGAAAAAAAACAACAGAGGCAATAATTTCTTTGACATCAGCTGTATAAACATTTTTCTGGATAGGTCTCCTGAGGCCAGGGAAACAAATATTAAACTATGGGGACTGTACCAAAATAAAACGCTTTTTTGCACAGCAAAGGAACCCATCAACAAACAAAACAAAAAGCCAACCTACTGAATGGGAAGTGATATTTGCAAATGATTTATGTGATAAGGGGTGAATATCTAAAATACATAGAGAACTTATACAACTCAACGCCAAAAAAACAATACAATTTAAAAATGGGCAGAAGACAAACTGACATTTTTCCAAAGACATACAGATGGCCAACAGACACATGAAAAGATGCTCAACATCACTCATCATCAGGGAAATACAAATCAAAACAATAATGAAATATCATCTCACACCTGTTAGAATGGCTAAAATCAAAAACACAAAAAATAACAAGTGTTGGCAAGGATGTGGAGAAAGGAACCCCTCGTGCACTGTTGGTGGGAATGCAAATTGGTGTAGCCACTGTGGAAAACTGTATGGAGGTTCCTCCAAAAATTAAAAATAGAAATACCATATGATCCAATAATTCTACTACTGGATATTTATGAAAAGAAAACAGAAACACTAATTCGAAAAGAAGACTAAGGCTACATCCAAATCCTGATGGAAAAGCTTTTCTTTTGATGGAAAATGACATCAATGAATTCAGTGATTTTTATAAAGTAATTGTATTAAATAAGTAAAATACATATTCTAGTATAATTTTACACAATCATGAACACTTATGACTGTGTATGTATACAAACTGATTTATTCTAGAAAAGAAGCCAGGGCAGCCAAGACCTGAAGTATTTCAATTCATATAAAGTGACCATATCCTGATGCTTTGGAAAGAGGAGCAACTTCAGGGGACTTATTAGACAGTCCCTCTTGCAAAGTGAATTAGAGTCTGATGGCTGAAAGTGCTCTTGCCCAGAACAGCTGTAAGTACTATGAAATAAAACCTGAAGGAAACAAGTAAAACAATCTTTTAGAACTATTAGTTATTTTCTGAACTGTCATACTTTTAACTTAGTTTATTATTAAAAATAACACATTATAAAATTAGCTGATGTTTTATAGGCTATGTATAAGGTGTGTATTAGCGTATTTAAACCTCTCCTTAATCCTACGTGTTATGCACCATTATTGTCCCCACTTCATGCATGGTGGTTAAATGTGGTTCAACGTGGTTAATTAACTTGCCTAAGACTGTACGGCGTACACAACGGCAACAGGAGGACATAAAACCAAGCACAATGCTGCCCCCACTCATGCACTTAACCATGACACTACTGGCCCAAAGGGCAATCTGAAAACTATTTGCCGACACGTGGGCTCCTTTTCCCTGTTTCAGTCACTGGAACACCATGGGTATCTAATATTACTTAAGACACCGTTTATTACGTTCCCAATCATTACATTTAAAAAGGCCATTTTAGTAAAATATCTCACATTTCTAATGGTATTTGAAGGGAAAGGCTAAATATTAATATATATAATTACCCTTTTGAAATACACTGCTTCAGCAATTAAGATATTATATGTACCAATGCCTTAATTATTTTAAAAGACAGAAAATATGCAATCTGTAGATACATACAAAAATCTAAAATTCAATGCATTCCATTATACTGCCAATAAATTTCCATTTTATCAGGATTTGACAGTACAGTTTCCCTATCTTGTCAAATTTAATAAACTGTACTTATACTTGCAATATCAACTTTTTGTTTCCTTTTTAAACATTTTATCATCTAGCCTGGAGATTAAATGCAAGGGCTTGAGTCAGAATGCTTGGCTTGAAATTCTGACTCCAATGTTACAAAACATTCTACCATGGTCAGCTACTTAACCTCTCTGTGTCTGAGTTTTCGCTTGTGTAAAATTGAGGCAATAATGATAACTTTCTCCACAGGAAGTAAAACTGTTAGCAAAGTGCCTGACATAAGCCCATGACCATCATCGTCTTCAAAAACACACTGGGGAAAACAGGACGAGTATTATTTTATATAGGAAGAAGGGTGAGTTCAGAGTCAAAGTAATATGCAGAAAACCATATTGCAGGTTGGAATTAGGATAAGGGTTAGAAAACAGTGCTTATCAACGCTGAGTCCCATCATCTATTTTACATACTTCTGGATAAGTTCCCCTCCAACTACCTCCCGACTAACACTCTCCTGGCACTCCGACATCATCATAGCTTCGTCTCAGTATCTGAAAACTTGCAAATACTGTGAATGATTTAATATGCTGCTTCAATCAATAATTAATGATCAGTAGCAGATGCTAAAGTTACAACACACTGTTGATGGTAAGTGGTTAATTAGACAAAATCATCACATATATATATATA